CTTTGACTTTAGATCCTTCCTCTGGTCTTATATCAATATTTATTGACCAAAATGTTTAGTAATTGTTTTGAATGATGTTTGTTTGTAAAGCCTCACCCTTTGTTCTGGGAAAATTTATAGTGCTATGACGTTCTTCTTCATACTCATTTCATTCCATATTTGTCATGTCATAGACGATGTATTACTTCATTTAATAGACTTAGACCGCACACCATTCTTAAATGCTTATGTTATGGCAAATATGCAAACGATGAATGGAGGTAGTTTGGAAATTTTCCATACTACCCTAGACTGTAGTACTAGAAAATTTCCCTGTGTGTGTGTGCAGTTTTTGGGTAATGAATATAAAAGGAGCAAGTATGAAGTAGCTAATTTGTTTTTTTGTTCTTTATATCAGCCTCCTCTCATATGTCATGGAAAGACAAAAAGGAGATTGAGAGTAGGAAAATTGTTTCTTTGGGTGGAAAGGTACTATTACAAAATATGGATATGTTATTATGGTAAGCTGAATGAATGTAATTTATAAAGCTTACATCTGACTCTTGTGTTTACCATGGTGCAGCCTCAAAAGAAACAAAGATTGCCTCTAAGTGTAGCACGACCAATCATGAAGAAGCAGAAGGAAAGAGAACAAAAGATGGTACAAGAGGTAAGGAAATCCATAAGATGGGTTACTTTGCTTTTTTCTTTTCTTTTGCCTACATCCACTCCTGTTGTTTGCAGCATTGGAATGTTAGTCAATTTGGCGGGACGGCTAGTAGTAACCACTCTAGAAACTCGTTGGGGAAGCGCAAACCCGAAAACCAGGTTCTTAAGTCGAGTGAAGGCTTTTTCAAACACGGTGTGCTTGATGTCAAGCATCTACTACGCCCAGCTCCTTCTAGGAATAGTGACTTCGGAAACGAAATGGCCGGCAAAGGTAGAAGAAAAGGAGGGAAAAAGAAGAACAACAAAAGTAACAAAAAGGGTGGCGGTAAGAAGCGCCATTGAAATCATTCATCACCTACAACATTCCTGTTTTACAATGGAATATGGATATCCTTTTGTCATATCAGATGCAGTTCAATGAAATCTTAGATGCAGTTCAATGAAATCTTGCATACCCTTGTTTTGCATATAAATTTATTACGTCCATCTATCCATTGAATGAAATTTTTATTTTGATTTTGTTTTTTTGTTGGATTGGAACCCATTTGTACTTTTCGGCTTCATCTTGCCTTTTACTTTTTTGTCGAGCTCCATCTTCTTTGTCGGGAAAGCGTGAAAGACGCATTTTAAAGCCTTGAGAGAAAGCTTGAAAGGGAAAGCCCAAATAGGACAATATCTACTAGCGGTGGATCTATGTCGTTACAAATGGTATCAGAGCCAGACATTGAATTATGTGCCAGCGAGGAATCTGTTCCCTGAAGGACACAAGGTGGTGTGCTAGTAAGGACGTTGGGCCTTGAAGGGGGGTGGATTGTGATATCCCACATTGGTTGGAGAGGAGAATGAAACACCAGGGTGTGAAAACCTTTCTCTAGCCGACGCATTTTAAAGCCTTAAGGGAAAGCTAAAAAAGGATAATATTTTCTAGATCTATGCCAACACGCATTTGCATCCTTTTAGTAGGATAATATTTTCTAGATCTATGCCAACACGCATTTGCATCCTTTTAGTTCTTTCTCAATATAAGTTTAGTTTTTTTTTTTAAGAGGTTCATCTATCCAAATAAAAAGAGATGGATGGGAACCTATTTGCACGACCACTAAAATATTGTTTAATAATTTACGAAGTATATATATACACACACATAAGAGGAATGGGGTCAATATATATACACACACATAAGAGGAATGGGGTCAAAATTTCTCTGCTCGTTTGTCTTATTCTTTTTTTCATTTATCCTTCTCTCGATATAATATATTAAGTCGAGAAAAAAATCTTTTTAAAAATGGTCAATTTTACAAAAAAAAAAAAAAAAAAAAAAAATAGGACAATTTATCAAATTTTAACTTCATGAATTATGGTTTGAATCCTAAATCCTCTAAATATATTTTAATATGAATATAATTTTGAGGATTTTTTTTTTTTTTTTTTTTTCCTTCGACAATTTTAATAAACAAAGAATTTTAAAAATAAAAAATAAAGTAACTTGTTGTAATTTACGAGAGAGAGAGAGAGAGAAGAGAGAGAGAGAGGAGATCCGGTCCAGTATTGAAGGGAATAGGGATGAAGGAGAAGCGTGATAGCAGTTTTTGACAAATCTGAATTTCGAAGTCTTTGAACCCAATTTACCCGATTTTTCCAGAGCGTAGGGTATTACAACCTCATTTCGACATCCTGTAGATCCAATTGCAACTATGGACGAGTCCGAATTTCGTCGACTTCTTCAACTCTTTCCCGTTGTTCGATCTCGGGATTATCATGTACCTTCCATCTCTTTCTTCTCTATATCTATCTTTTTGGAAAAAGTAATTAGCTTAGGAAATTTTCTTGATCATTCAATGTTATGTATTCCACTGCTAATCTGTTCTTTGTTAACGAGTTCTCCATTTCGCTTTCAATTTTTAAACCTTCTTCCCGCTAGAATTTTTTAGTTCATTGTTGGAACGTCACTTGCCACCCGGGATTAGGACGGATTGGGCTGTTCTTGCTGTTTGCGAGAGATAACTTGGCCACTGTTTGTTTGGTTCAAAAGAAAAGTGATATTATTCTAAAATAATTGTTTGTCAAATTGTCATCGATTACTTGCGAAGAAGAATCTGCTTGAATTGATTACTGATAGTTGAAGTACAAGAGACTCTATTGATTACTGCGCTGATGAAGTACGACCTTAATTTCTTACATCATGATTGCACCCTTCTGCACGGGAAGTAATGTTAATAGCGAACTTTGTTTCCATTTGATTAACAGCAAACTCTAATTTTTATTGTCTTATTGAATCTTTAGCTTCTTTTCCCTCTTTGATAGATCAACTATATTGTGCTAAAATAAAAACTTTTGAATGGAAGGATGAGACATATCTGAGAAGGATATATGTGCATCAGCCATATGATTGACTTTGATAAACTTGTCAATGATGCTCATTTTTCTGGTGATGGATGCGTCAATTTTTAGTGGGAAAACAGAGAGCTAAAATTTGTTTGTCTTTTATTTAGATGTTTTACCAATCATGAAACAAGAAATTAACTAAGACTAGGGGAAGCTTCTAATTCAACTTCAACCACTTGCACTGAGACTAAAATGGAGTTCAAAAAGTTTAGTTGAATGATACATATAAAACTCTATGAGCTAGATTGTGAAGTTTTTTCTGTTCTCATTAAGGGTATGTTACAATTATTAGTAGCATAGGTATCCATCCATTTTGTTAAAAATCTCGTATGATTTTCAGGCGGAGTCGGAGTTATCTAGACAGTCAACATCCAAGTCATCCAAGAGTGAGGTTAATTAAATGCTTTGCCCTTACTTCCTGTCCTATTCGCATGTTCTTGTTGCTGGTTAATTAAATAATGAATGTTGTCTTGTTTATAGTTGAGTGAATGGCAGGAAGCATGGAATGAAGATGGAGAAAAATCAAAGGATCAAGGATCTGACCTACATGGTATTTTATCTTGAAAATATAACTTTTTTTTATCTTTTTCCAAATTAACATTTTAAAAGTGATCAAATATATTTGATTTGCTTTAAGGAACCATGAAACCCCTTTTTTCCTAGGATAACATACATTTGTTCTCAAATCGCTTATGAAGTTATCCTTTCTGGTTTTAGTAGATAGTATCTGTTCAGTGGCCCAGATAACGAAAGCTTCCTATTTTTCCTAGAATTTTAAATATAAGTTCGCTAATATTACATTTTTGGGATGACTGATAACAGATGCATTCTGGAAGAAGCTAAAGTTCGCTGCTGAGCAGAAGGTATGAGCTTCTTCTATTTCTTTTTCAAGTGTTACATTTTTATCTAAATTAGGGTATAAAACCCCTAGAGTTACTCGGTTATCCTTTTCTGGTACAAGTCCTTGTGTTTATGTTTATAACTCATTAGTTACAATCTATATGACAAAAATGGAAGTTCACCAAAAAAAAATTTCGTCTGCTTAAATTCTAGTCATGCCTTTACAATATTATAATTTGTCAACGCATTTTGATCTGAATTTGTCCATTTTTTGCGAAATTAATCATATGCAACTGATTAGTTACTTTTTTTTTTCTTTTTTTTTCTGATGTGATGTAAGACTAATGCGTATATTCAGTTTCAGATTTGGTTAAATCGTTGAATGCAAATGAGCATCACTTTAACATAAATGCAAATATCTGGGTTTCTCAACAAATTCCATCTTGATGGTGCATTGCATTATACTTTCATTTGAATGTGAAAGAACAATGTTTATATTTGTATCTAACAGCTTGTTGTTTGCTTATTCATTACACGCAGGTGGGCAAGCTTGAAGCAGAGAGATTCTGTAACTCATTTCAACAGATTCACAATAAACTTGTAAGTCATTCAGAACATGTCGTGCAATTAGATATTTAGTTTTTCATCCTCCATTGACATTAGAATGAAAATCCTATAATCAATATGACTACAGGTTAACGAAGAACTGAGTTCAGATGCTGCCCGGAGCTTTCTGGAGTCGTTCAGTTGCAGTTCCACAGAATAGTATGGTTTTCTGCTTTATAAGTCTTGTATTGCATATATCATCTTCTCTCCATAGACCACATTGTGCAAGTCTGATTCAATTACTAACAAGGATTTGGAACAGATAAAATCTTGTTTTCAAGGGATCTGCAAACACTCTCTTTCACATACATTTTTACTCTGTGGCTTGTCCGTAGTTTAATACTTCTATGCATTTTTACTCGATACAATATGATGTGACTATCTTTTTCGATAAGAGAAATAATTTTATTGATAAATGAAATAGGTGGAGTCGAGAATTCCAACGCCAATAGGTGAATTTCAAGAAAGTTTTCCATGACATGATAATATCTCAACCATTCCGACCACCGACACAAAAGGGATAAATAATAACCTCCAAATCATGGGAGGACTCACATCCATAAATTTTTATACTTCATGACAGACAATAGTTATGTTGTTTGAGATATGGGCTGCATCATATTCAGCCAGATAAAATAGTATAGAAACTATAAGAAAGCTTCCTGAAGTGAAACCCTTCATTATTCGTTCAATGTAAGGTGTAAATGTATGAGTAATAAGATGTGTCACATCTTGGAAGCATCGGCTGCAAGTTGGTTGAAGGCAATGGAAGTCTTCGAACCCGATGGCCGCCCCAAATGGTTGCTGATGAAGTTCCCAGCAGACATGACCTTTGCCAAATCCACATTGGTTTTTATGCCAAGTCCGTGGAGCATGTACACCACATCCTCAGTTGCAACATTCCCGGAAGCTCCTTTTGCATATGGACATCCACCCAGACCTGCAACAGAGGAATCTATTGTGCTAATCCCCATCTGTTCATAAAAGCAACACACCAGTTAATGGTTGAAGTTGGCCCAAATGAAATGAAATCCTAGGCAAAGCTTGCAACTTCCATCCATATATCTGGAAAGCAAGTTTGGCAGGGACCAAGTATATGTTTGAAATGACTTTCAAGTGTTTAAAGACATATTTTTCTCAACCGTGTCATTATCATAATGTTTCGTTAGATAGGAACAAATTTGATAAATACCGATAATTCTTGGATGGAGTATTAGAACGAAAAAATCCATTAGATGACAAACTATTGCTTCTAAGTCATTTTTGGCGATGAATCAACAATCCGAAGTGCTTTTCTTGCATATTCTTGATAAACCAACGTTTATATATAGATGTAGGAAGATCTGTTTGGGAAGTATTTTGAACACTTAGAAAGTCATTCCAAACGAGCTCAAACTTCAGTTCAAAAGATTCCTTACTTGGAGGGATACTAGAATATTTGGAAGTGATTGTCCATAAGTGTCATGGAAGTGGACTGCAAGCTTGTCCACCGGAACGACAGCCATCACAGCTTCAAGCATGGGAACAACAGTCCCTGTGCCAACAGAGGATACTATAAGAGAGCGAAGAAGATGAAAGCAATCTATATTTCGATTTTGAGAAAGAAAGGTTTAAATTGTTACCGGGCGTGGCAACTCCGATCGTGTCTCCAAGAGAAATTTCAAAGCAACCCATCTCATAAAGCTCCTTCGCTACATAAGCGACCTTAGATGGAGGAATTGATCCTTCTGTTGGACAACCAACTACACATGATACATACCTATACAAATCCATAGCCAGTTATAGCAATAAGAGAACCCTTCAAGAACAGAATGAGGAGAACCATTCTAGAAAACAAGTCGTGTTCAAAACTTAAAACCAAAATTCAGAGGAAATTAAAACCAAATTCCAATAGCCATTTATATGGACACTGATTCATGGAAGCATACCCTCGAACAGGGATTGCAAGCGCTTTTGCAGCAGAAGTTACAGCTCGGTAACGATCAAGACATTCTTCAATGCTACAATTGATGTTGGATTTTGAAAATGATTCAGAGGCTGATGCAAAGACTGCCACTTCCTTTGCTCCAGCCGCAACAGCTGCTCCAAACCCCTGGAAGAAGGTGAAGTTTTAGAAGAGAGGACTCAATCCATCCATGTTTGAAAAAAAAAAAAAAAAAAAAAAAAAAAAAAAAAAAAAAAAAAAAAAAAA